TTCAGAAAACGAAATTGATATAATTAATATAAGATTTATTTACTTAATTATTATCTTTTTGGGTGTTGTGTGGGAGATTTTATATATAGCATCCCGATCCACACTCTATTCCAGTAGATGGCGGTAATGCGCATCAATAAGTTGCTTGCCAGCCGCCATGAAAAGAAGAAGAAGAAGAAGAAGAAGAAGAACCCCGGAAGAAGAAGTCGTAAACACAGCGCACGCGGTGAGCTCTGGCTGCTGTTTGATTCTTTCCCCGGTTTCACAGCCGAAACATGATCCCTGCTTCTGCTCGAAACCGAAAGAAAAGCCAACCGGCTCTCGGCGTCAGCAGGAAGTGCGCCGTTTCCGGTTGTCCGAACAGCACGGGCAGCTTGAACCGGAGCGCGCTGAACCGACCCCCGAAACGGTTCTTCAAGTTCCCCACAAACCCGGACCAGCTGAAGGTACGGAGGCTCCGGGAAGTAGTCTGAGCCCACAGTTAGAGGGAGGTTTAACATCTTTGGCTCGGTCTATTTTATGATCTTTGAAATAAATTAACTGGAAGTTAAACAGTTTGAAGCTCAGTTGATCCATTCACTTCCTTCCCTCCTTCTTTTCCTCCTTCCATATGTTTTCCATCCTTCCTTCTGACACAAACTCTAGCCTGTATTTCTTTATTCTTTTCTAGTTTTTCTGCTTCTTTGTTGCCTTTAGCCTGTTTTTTTTTTTTCAGTTAATCTATATTTCTGTCTCTATTTCTCTTTTTAATCTTTGTCTCTTTCATTTCTAGTGCAGTTAATTATTCATTCCTACACCTCGTTTGTCCTTCCACCTGTTTTTTTGTTTTGTTTGTTTTTGCTGCTTCTCTGTTGAAATTCTGCTTTTTAGGAAATATTTTTCATAAATAACTGTATTTATTATTTTCAAAATGCTCAGGAAGGGCCGTATGGAGGACCAGTAGTACCATATTTTAAATTAAATGCAATTAATTACCCCCAAAATACAATAAACTAATGAATGTAGGTAGAAATTAAATAATACAGTAAGACATAAATGTTTAATTAGCTTCTTTATTTATGCGCCTTTGTGATAATTACCTTATTTATTGTCTGTTATAATCTTCAACTTTATTTATGAGTTATTATATTTTAATTTCATTTATGTGTCTGTTTTATTCTTTGTATTTTTTACCCTATTTATTTCTTCAGTGCTATTTTATTTCTTCTGTGCTTTTTACATTTCTCTATGTCTTTCTGCCTCATTATGCAAATGAGGGTCTGTGTCTAAAGGTCAACCCATTGGTTGGCGGCCCATCTCTTTAACTCACACAGCTCAGAGAAATACATAAAAAATATTTTTCATAAATAACTATATTTTATATTTTTAAAATGGTCAGGAAGGGCTGGGCAGTCTGGGATCTTGGGTCTGAAAAGGTGATTTACTAAAAGTTCCCTCCTTTATTAAATCAATCAGTCCATTTCTTATTTTTTTTTCCCCCCCTTGGAATCTAAAAAACTGATGCTTTACATTGGAGGTCTTCAACAGGGGGATCCACGCAGGTACTGCGTTGGGTTCCCGAAAGCTTTGGTTATTTAGACTTTTTTTTTATTTTATTTTTTTATTCCTCCATGCAATTTTTTTCCACTAATCGAAATGTCTTTAAATCTACATTAATATGAATTCAACAGACTGTAGTAAACAG